ACCTCTCAGGAGCTCTAAACTTGATTTTGTTTGGTCAGTTGAACAGGGAAATCCCTGGAAGGCACTCAGAAGAATATTTGGGCCTGATTGCTGAAATTACTTCTGTAGATCTGGAGACTTCCAGACCTTTTGCATGATTCCAGTGTGGCCATATGCAGCTCATATTTTTTTTAGTTGAGTCTGAGTATTTGGTTTTGTATTGCTGCTCACCAAACATTGACATTATCCTACTTTTGCCCCCATATTTTCCTGATAATGGCCATATCTCTTGGGGCACACCGGGCTACCAGTGAGGAGTAAGTGGGGGCAGTGAAGGGAAAAAAGAAATGTCCCAACAGTGGCTTGAACACTGGACCTTCAGATCAATGAACTGAACTTCTTCAGTCTGACGCTCTCCCAACTGAGCTATTGAGACATGCTCTGCGCAACCTTTATCAATGAATTCGAGCTACCGTGAGCATGGCGGAGACAAGGGAACCCAATTTCGAGCTAATGTACTTGCGAATCTGCCGAAAAACTTTAGAGAGAGATCAATGGCCTCCGTGCGCACATCTCTCATCGGTCGTTGGAACACTTTGGCACCGTCCTCTTGGACTCACACTCTCGCTGTAGCTGGTCTTTCGAGCGCGTTGACTGCCATTTTAATCTACACCAGTCGCTCACTTTCCAACCCTGCACCACCGAGAGCGAACCGACGTAAGCAAGCGAGCCTACCGAAGATTGTAGTCCACGACGAAAGCCTAATCGAGGAACAGCTCATACGGAACGCGGCTTTTCTGGGACCAGAGGGTCAAACACGGGTTAGAGGTGCTTTCGTTATCGTAGTGGGGCTCGGAGGCGTAGGTAGCGCAGCAGCAACTTCTTTGGCGCGTAGTGGAGTGGGTCGTATCAGGCTGATCGATTTTGATCAAGTCACGCTTTCATCTTTGAACGTACGTTAGGTCACTCCTCTTCTTGACCGCCTCTGCGTTCTAACGATATCCTGACATTTGAGGAATTTCCAAAAAAGCGACATGCTACTGCAACACGAGAGGATGTAGGCATTCCGAAGGTGCAGTCGTGCAAAAACCTATTTGCCAAGATCGCACCCTGGATTACCATCGATGCTCGAACCGCCCAATTCACATTGACCGATGCTCCTGGGCTCTTGGAGGGAAAACCAGATTGGGTATTAGACTGCATTGATAACATCGCCACAAAAGTCGACCTGCTAACATACTGTAAAAAGAATGGCATCAAGGTGAGTATCCCTCTCCCCTTATCACAAGTTCTTTTCTAGTTTCGTGTCATAGAGCGATGGCTAATGAGAGATCTGGGGTAGGTCTTTTCGGCGCTTGGCGCGGCTTCAAAGGCGGACCCATCAAGAGTTCAGATCGCAGACCTCTCGCTTACCTTCGAAGACCCATTAGCCCGCTCAGTTCGGAGAAGACTGTGGGTCATGAGTACAAACCTCAGGCTGATATATCAGCGCAGTTTGCATCTGATATGACTCGTTGTTTTCTATAGCCGGTTGAATGGCGTGATCGATGGGCTACCGGTGGTTTATTCAACAGAAAAAGTGATTTTGAACCCTATTGGACCTAACTCATCGCCTCTTGCTGTCTCCTTACTAACGGCAGTCTTGTTGGTCATGGTAGCCTAACGAAAGAGTAACGTTGTTGCCTTTGGCAGAGGAAGAGTTTCAGAAGGGGAACGTAGGCGAACTTTCAGCGTTGGCGGATTTTCGGGTGAGGATCTTACCTGTCTTGGGTCCACTACCAACAATTGTAAGTTGATTTGATTAGCAAGACTTATCCAATCTCAGGCTCACAAAGGTTGACGGCACTCTATCCCACGTGCTTCGTTGATTCTAGTTCGGACAAGCTATGGCAGCTCACGTCATCACTCAGCTCGCTGGTTTTCCGACACAACCTCTTCCAGTAAAGTAAGCGAGAGGGCCTACTCCATTTCCTCGATTCGAGTCCCAGATTGTTGACTCCAGATGACTAGAAATCGAACAAAGGTGTACCACCGCATGTTCAACGACCTCCTCGCGCGCGAATGTCGGTTGGTAGGCGCCACGACGATCCCCTTCTCAGACGAAGACATCGGTTACATCTTTGAGGAGATCTTTCGCGGAAGATCCGTTGTTTATCCTACCTTCACCGTCAGCTCTCACCCAACCCTATTGCGCTGGGACCCTCGGGAGGGGCTGCACTGGCAGAATTGTGTGGTAATGGATCGGTCAGAGGCGGAGGCACATGAAAGGGAGGTTCTGAAGAAGATGCGGGACCCCAAGAGTTATTGGGGTCCAGAGACGGTTCAGATCGTCGAGCAGCGCTTTCGGGAGGAGTTGGAGATGTAAGCGATCTTGATATGAAACCGTCAAACCTATTGGGATACGATTTGATCATGTTCTTGCTTTCTTTCCGTTCTATCCAGGCGACGATGGAGGTGATGTATTATCGACCATTCAACCAAGAAACTCCTTTTGAACAGTTACATCTCGAAGGTCTCAAGCATAGTTGAACCAAAGCGACGGAACGAATCAAAATTCTTGCATCCTACTCTCATTCGGCCTTTTTTTTTGGCCTGGGTTTTCCACTCCATTGATCTGAGCAGGCATAGAGTGGCTCTCGAGTGAAACCCCCCCTTTTTTTTTTCTCTGAATACTTGGCTGGGTCCGCAATATTTGTCAGTGTTTCCTTGTGATCTTGTGAAGATGTTGGTTCGAGACGACATGGTTACATCAGATTCGTGTGCGTGTGTGTGGAAATAGCACGAGGATTACTTGGATCGGTGGGTGTGGCAGTTCTGCGTTCCGGATGGCCTTGCTATGCGGTATATACCCTCTATCAACGACCTGAGGGCCAAGTACCAGATGCATGTGGCGTGATCTTTGATATTTCTTGGAATACTTAAGACCTCAACCTTGATTCTTGACGCTCAAGCTTGCTTGTTAGGAAAATAAAACATCATCTACAACGTGCTATATCATCGCCGCTGGGTGTACAAGAAATTTGGATTGAACCACCTGGTCATCCCGAGACAAGAATTTCAAAGAGTGTACCAAAGTGAGAAAGTCCAAAAGGTCTTCGAATCCCCTCGCGTACCCAAGGGTAGTACGGTGTATCCTGGCAAGATTTGCTCATGAAGGAAGCTGTGAGCTTGATTGGATTGTTTTACTAAATGGTATTTGGTTTGCAGGATAGCATCTGAGACAAACACACACACAATGGCAAGACTGGCAGGTATAAAACTGTTGACTAGGAATTATGATTTGTCATAGCGTTGTCCTGAAAGGAATCCTAGGAATAGCTATAAGCTGCTCATTCTTCATTTGTAGGGAATTTTGTCAAGTATGACAGAAGAGGATTTATGATTCTTTCTTCCATCTATTGTCCTGAGATTGTCTAACCATGTTATGAGACGGAAACCCGTAGACTGAGATCGGTGACTCCTTTCTGTCGTATTTATGACTCTCTATTCTCATTAGTATAAATACACTTATGAGTTTGCACCTGGCTCTGAACTTTATCTGTTCGGAACTATTTTCATATAACACAAGCTGCTATACTCATGGTGACTTGTGTTATACATGACTTATAAAAACTGCTGAGGAATTCTTTTATTCCTTTTTTTTTTGGGGGGGGGGGGGAAGGGACTGCGTTCTGTTTATAAATTGTGTTTGATGGAGATTTCAGTCATTTTTAAAAAAAGCATACCGCAGAAATAAAACAGGTCTTCGAAATCAGTCACAATCACATAAACCCGGTTAAACACGATCCAGTCCAGATTGATGGTTTTGAATCAGGTAATACATTTTGCATGTCTTGATTCTCACATTGATGGCGCAGCCTTACTGTAAATCTTAAACCGAGCTCTGTATACTGGAACGATGACGCAGAAGTGTTTTTTTTTTTTCGAAACTTTTCCTCGATTCTTGGTAAACTTTAGTGTAAAAAGAACTTGGACTGTTCGGAGCTACACTTTTTTTTTTTTTTCCCTCAGTGTCGAAGAACAGGAGGATCATAAATTTATATCGCACTACACAAGTTAAGAGGTCTGGACAAAGCTTTACCACTTCTTCACGAAAGCAGGTAACGATGATGATTCTGGTCCTATACCAGATAATGCTTTGTGCGATCAATGTGATAGGAAAACCGATTCCGAGTTTCATATCAAAAGAATTTTATCTGCATTCTAAACCGATCGATAGTTTTGAGTATAAGCACGGTAAATTTTACAAGGTTCCAACTGAAGCTGATATCAACTTGTTTGTCCTTATGAATGCTTCTCTAAAAAAAAAAAAGTGTACTGGTCACAAATAGCTCATTTTTTTTCTTTTTTATCTTTATTTTTTTGGCATGTTTTTGTATCAGCTTTGTAGAACAGCACTATGCGTTGAATGAGCATGAACGGTATCACCTAAAGAAGTTCATCAATCACGAGTACAAGGCGTTAGGTACCAAATGGATTGACGTGGGAATTATCCAGTTGAGAAAATTCATTGATACCTTCACCATTTGTCTAAAATAACAGTCAGACGGACTCTCGATCCTTTTAAAACTGACCAAGTTTTTATCCTTTTCGGCTCTACGATTTTAGGTCTGATGGTTCTTTACTCATTATTCCTACCGAAATTGTTGAAGAATGTGATCGATTTAGAACTATGAGAGAATTAGTCAACCACTGGTGGTATCATAACAACCCCAATCACAATCATCATCAACTTGGATCACTTGGAAAAAGATATGAAGAAACGGTTTATAAAAAAAATAAATGGAAATTTGAATTTAAAAATGGATTTTGGAGTTGGAGAACGCTTTTACTTATTGATTTATGGATGTATTTATTTGTAGGTTTGATATCATTATCAGAACTAATTTTTATTGGAATCAAAATGGCTTAATCATATTCAAGTCATTAAAGCCTTCTAGAATTTACTATATGAAAAACTTGCATATGTTTGTTGTTTTGTTTTGTTTTGTTTTGTTCATCGACATCTTTTCATATCCGGCTCTGAGACCTTGTAAGTCGCCTGGGTTTGAAACTTTCCAAATTTGACCCGGTTTCCACACTCTCAACTTTAATTGCGCCACTACTAGGAACTAAACCTAGACTCGAGTCAGTTATGCTTGGCTCCATCTTTGCTCGATCAGGTTCGACTGCCCTAAGATCACCTGACATCTGATCAGACTTTCTCTTCTTTGGGCTCCGTCTCTCTTCAGTACCAGGAGCTGGATATTTAAGATCAGCCAAGAAGAGCACTTGTTGAGCCCATCCAGCCCAAGGACCCCAAATCTCTCCTAACCGAGTTTTCACAAGCTCATAGCCAGCTTTCCCAGGCTTAACCACGATTCCATAGTCTCGCTTAGCAATGGCAAAGACATGAACATCGACAGGTACGACACCAACAAAGCCTAGTCCGAATAG